AAGCCCAGTAATTTGTGATTCTGTTTGAAGATTCCATATGTGTTTTAGGTCAAAGATTCCTTTATTGTGTATGGTATTGTTGGGGATGGTGCTACAAACTTCTGCTTTGTGTTTCAGTATTTTCCTATATTGTTTTGTAAGCTTTTCGCAATCTTTTTGGGGAATGTGGCAGTTTTGTATTCTATATTCAATTCTTGGGACCAGAACCTTGTTAAATATATATAGGGCTTGTTTATCTGTTGCTCTTTTGTTTTTGAATACTGATATTATTCTGTCGATTTCATGTTGGATCCAACAGATTGTATCTTTTTTGGGGTCCTTGCTTCCGATCCAAACTCCTAGGAATCGTGTTGTTTTGTGGGCTTCCATTCTGCAAACTAGTGTTTGATCTATTCCAGCCTTTACAAAGTTGTTTTCTGATTCTTCTATACTACTTATGTTTAGTAAGACTGATTTAAGGCTGTTGATTTGTGAGTTATTTGCTTTGTAGAATTTCCTGGTGTCATCTAAGATCTCTTGCAGGTTTGCTCTGGAGTGGGATATTCAGGTAGTGTCATTTATATATACTATTGCTACACTTTGTAGCTTGAGTATTTGGCTTTGATCTGTTGAAATGTCTGGCTTCCAAGTACATTACATAGTGTATTCCATGTTTGTGTTTTCTTGAATTTTGCAAAGCAAGGGATCATAGAAGATTCGTTAGAGAAGTGATGAGATAGCATCCCCTTGGATGACAAGATATTTGTTTTGTTGAGAAGTATTATAATTTATATATTAATTTTTTTCTTTTCAATATTAAGAATCTTATTTTAATTTAATAAGAAACTTTTTATATTATTTATTTTTTTAAAAAAGTATCAAGCAATAGTATAAGACTTGTTTCAAGTTGTCTTTATAAATATAAGACTTGTTATAAACAGTAAATTATAATAAGTCTTGTCATAAGTACCTTGAATATTTTTTATTAATAATGAAATAGTAAAAATCAAAAGATTTGTTTAATTGCAGATGGTGATAAAGAATTTATCCTTATAAATAAATTGATTTAAAAAAATTTTTATTTATTAAAACAGACTTTTCAAATATTTTTATTTTTTATTTTTTAAAACTATAGATTTATATTGAAGTATAGTTTAAATATAAGCTGGTTTTGATTTTTCTTAAAATTAAGGAATGGTTTTGAAAAATAAGCAATTTTATTATTTTTTATGATTATACTTAAAGAATTTGAAAATTATAAAATAATAAATATTATATAGTAATAGCCGAATAAATCCATTTCTTTATAATAAAATAATTAATAAATAATTAAATTATATAAACAATATGATGGTCTTGATATTAAGAATTTAAGAATTATATACAAATCTAAAAATAATTTATTGATAGGTATTCTGTAATATTTAATGGTATAGCTTTAATATAATACTTTAATATATAATATATTACTGTATTTTAAAAAATTTCTAAAAAATAAATAAATGTTTAGAATTATAATTTGATTAGAGGTAAAAAAAAAACAATAAAATATAATATTATTGAAAAATATATTTTGTATATATTGTAAAATTTGTTGTAATAAGAATTAAAAATAAGTAAAATCTCAAGAAAGATTAATAAAAAAATAATTTTTACAGGTTTTTTTTTTATGTAATTTAAAAAAAGAATAAGATTTTTAAACTTGTTCTTTTTTAATTAGAGGTTCCACCCCAATATTTTAGTGTATTTCTTTAGTTTCCTTGATGAAAATAAAGGAAGTATAAAGAACTTGTGAATATTGAAAGGTAAAAAAAATATTTGTTTCTCTAATTTTAAAAATTACTAAAAAAGAAAATTTTAAGAAAAAAAGTTGTGTATGGAAAAAGTTAATTTGATATTAATTTAAAATTACGTATTTTAATTTTAATTTGATAAAAACAATAATAATAATATTATTATTTTTAAATTTTATTTTGTAAATATAAAAACCGAATTGTTAGTTTTTTTAATTATTTTTTTCTATATAAAATATATTGCGATTTCGGAAAATTAAAATTAACGAATACAGAATAATCATTCTCAAATCAATAAATATATGCTTTAATTAAATTAAATATGTATTTTAAAAATAAGATAAACTATTTCAAAAATGCAATTATTTTATAAAATAAAAGAACTTTCCGGTAGATATTACCACGGATGTTTATCGGATACAGTTCTCGATTAGGGGAAAAACGCTTAAAAAAAGTGAAGGTTGCTTATTGCTGACTGTGAACTCGCTGTCCAACAAAAAGGATTTTAAAACTTTATTTTTCATCCAATTACAGTTATAAAAATGTTCCATGAAATTTGATAATAATCGTGCACCTCGATTACTTTATACCAATGATTTTCGTCGAATTAGACTTCTCTCTGAAAGGTTATATCACGATTGTGCATAATTGCATCAAACCACCAATTTACAAATTTGCAAGCTTAGTTACAAATGGACGAATATCCTTTGTTCATTCATTGTCCATACGTAAAGAAAATCCAGGAATAATAGCTGCATTATAGAACCGAATTGATTGTGGCCCACATGTTTAACCTGGTTTACGCACTTGATAAGCCTTGTGCATGGAGTGATACAAAAATACAAAATTTAATAAATTACACTTAATCTTATTGGTACCACCCGACGTTTTCTTAAATGTTATTAATTTTGTGATTTGTGCACACACATTAGCACGTATATAAGTTACGTACAGGATCACGATACATACGTGCGTGAATTCTTTCGAGAATAACAGCTATCAAGAACATAAATTTGACTATGATTCACTTGAAACATGGAACTCATTTCTACAAAAAAACTAAAAAATCATAAAAAGATTGTGGATGAAAAACATGAGAATTTCATCAGAAAGGTACATATAATCGTCATTGGATCTTATTTGGCGGAAAAATCAATGGTTTACTAAATTTTATAACAATAGTTTCGAAAGTTGATTAAATCGAAGGCGACTTCGAGAGGAAACATTGTTAAAATTATAGGTATTGACAAAGCATCTACCCTATCTCATTGTTATTCCGGAGAACTCTATTTTTAACATTTTTCTGATATTGTGACCACTAGAACATTTTTATTCCGCCAAAACTTATTTTATGATAATTCAATATGCACATAATGGAGATCTTGGGACGTGTTTACGAACAAAGTTCTTGGAACAAAATGAATATGCTAAGGCAAACTTAATACCGGGCGTTGAAGGCAGTCCAAGCTACGTCAATAATGCAAGAACTATGCACGGAAATTTGGTAAGTTTATGTTATCTACATTTGAAATTGTTCAATGCTTGTTAACACAATTCGTATGTACAACACTCGATAGGATTTCACCAATATACTCACCAAAAATGGTGGTATATTAATGGTTATGGGATTTGGTTCATCCGTTTCTCTTGATGAAGAATCTTTTGATCCTTTGAACGCAGAAGTGATGACGCATGCGGATCGGAGGCTTTCCGTGTTTCCTTCCATTTGCAAAAAAGAGAGATCCTTGGATATTTTTACCCACGAATGTCTCCTCAAAGGGCTGATGTTGGTCGGCTATTTTAGTACAACTCGTGAATTGGGATGTTCGCCGTCGTGTTTTGTATATGAACTTAAAGACTATCCATTTTTAAAATTAGACAATTTGCGAGTTTTTAGAATGTGGATATTCGACAAGCTATCAAAAATTTTACCCAATGAGATTCAACAACAAGATTTGAATTTCGCGCATCGCAAAGCAATTTTGGCCGAGGATCAAGCAGAATATTTGGAAGCAATAATATGGTATACTCGTGCAATGGAAAGATATCCCGACAGCTATTCGCTTAGATGCAAAAGAGCGAATCTTTTGGAAAAACTGAAGTTATACTCGGAGGCTCTTCAGGATTTGGAAAATGCAATTGTATCAAACCCTCAAAAATCATTGGCTTATGTATACAGGAGCCGAGTTTATTACCACGTCGAAAAATTTGACCAGGCATTGGAAGATGCTAAGAATGTGTTGATAATGGAACCAAAGAACCTGTCGGCAATGATAATGTGTGGCAACATCTATTTTTCACTTGGACAATGTGAGAAGGCATTGGATTATGTCAATGGTGTTTTGGAAGTTGATCCCAACAACTTATTGGCATCGATAACTTACGGGAATATCTGTCTTTCACTTGGGAAGCATGATGAGGCATTCGAATGTTTTAAGAAGGCTCTTGATATCGAGCCCTATAATTTATCGGCTTTGACTTCATGTGCTAAAGTCTGCACCCTACTCGAAAGGAAGAACGAAGCATTAGAATACTTCTTGGACGCTCTAGATATTGAACCCGACAATTTGTCGTTGTTGATGACATGTGCCAACATCCTTTTTTCACTTGAAAGAAGTGAGGAAGCATTAGAATATATTCTGGACGTTCTAGACATTGAATCCGACAACGCTTCAGCATTGATGACATGCGGAAAAATCTACCTTTCACTTGAAGAATATGACGAAGCACTTGCATGCATCGAAGATGTGTTGACGATCGAATCAAACAACGTGTCGGCATTGATAATGTGCGGAGACATTCATTTTTTGTTAAAGCAGTACGACAAGTCATTAAATGCTTATTGCAAAGCAGATCAAATCGATCCCAATAATGCTGAAGTCTTACTGGCTTTAGGGAAGGTATTTTATGAATTAGAAAAATTTGAATTGGCTTTCTCTTACTTTAGTCGATCCTTGAAAATTCATCCAAAAAGTGCAAGTTCGTTACTAAATCATAAGGTGCGCAGCCTAAATTTTCTCAACAACAACATCGGGGACTTTGCGGGGAAAGGATTGGCCGAAGCTTTATGCGAAAATAATACCCTGATCTGCCTGAATCTCAGGGGAAATAATCTAGACTATCTCACGGGAAATGCACTAGCCGATGCTCTGTGCAAGAATATCACCTTGACTGAATTAAATTTAGGTTTAAACAATATAGGAAGTTTGCCGGGAAAAGCTCTGGCAGAGGCCCTGTACAAGAACACCACGCTGACCAATTTGAATTTGTACTGTAATCAGCTGGGTAAATTAGCGGGGGAAGCGATGGCTGGAGTCCTGTACAAAAATGCTACTTTGACCGAATTAAACGTTGGTTCGAATAAGATAGGCGATTCTGCTGGAAAATCATTGGCTAAGGCTCTATGCAAAAATGCCACCTTGTTCGATTTTAATTTGTGTAACAATCAGTTGGGTGAATCGACAGGGAAAGCTCTTGCCGAAGCTCTGTACAGGAATACAACTTTAGCTAATTTAGATGTGGGGTCTAATAATATCGGTGAATCAGCGGGAAGGGAACTTGCCGAGGCCCTGAGCGGAAATACCACCCTTACAAATTTGAATCTGTCCAATAATAAGTTGGGCAATTTGGCAGGAGAAGCGATGGCCAAGGCTCTATGCAAAAATACCACCCTGATAGAATTAAATTTAAGTTCAAACAAGATAGGTGACTCGGCAGGGAAGGTTCTGGTTGATGCCTTATGTGATAATAGCACTCTGATAAATCTCAATATATCTAGCAATCAGCTAGGAGAGTTGACGGGAGAAGCGCTTGCTGAGGCTCTATCCAAGAACAATACTCTGGCTATATTAAATATAGGTTCTAATAAGATAGGGGATTCGGCGGGAAAGTCGTTGGCTAGAGCCCTACGAAAAAATATCAACTTGACCTATTTAGAATTGTCCAACAATCAGCTTGGCGAACTTACGGGAAAATCGCTGGCCAAGACACTATGCAAGAATACATCCCTGACTCATTTAAATCTTGGGCGAAATAAACTAGGAATGTCAACGGGAAAAGCTCTGGCCAGGGCTCTACTCAAGAATACCACTTTAACAAATTTAAATTTATCCAGCATCCAGTTGGGTGAATTGGCCGGAAAATCGTTAGCCGAAGCTCTATGCGAGAATAACATTTTGACCTGCTTAGATCTGTCTAATAATCGACTAGGTGAATTGGCTGGAAAAGCGATTGCCAAATCCCTATGCAAAAATATCGCTCTCATCAATATAAAACTTTGCAATAATCAGTTGGGTGACTCTACAGGAAAAGCGCTTGCCGAGGCTTTACGTAGGAACAACACCTTAACCAAGTTAAATATCTGTTTTAACCATATAGGTGATTCGGCCGGAAGGGCGCTAGCTAAAGCTCTGAACAAAAACACAACTCTGACCGATTTGGCTTTATTCGACAATCGGATGAGTGAGTCGATAAAAAAAACATTAGCCATTGCTCTATCCAAAAATAATGACATTTTAACTTTATAGCCCATTAAAACATCATAATTAGATATTATTTGTCAAAAATTAATTAATTCCCATCTTACAACTTCATATCTTATTAAGGGCATTGACGCAATTCTTTGCAAATTCTCGTGCGCAATTTGTTACATCTAAAATAGACTCGAACATCAAAGGCAATTTAATTTTTTTACAATAATTCAACAGAAAACTTGCAAAATAAAAAAACTGCATTGGAATTTTTCCCAGATACAATTTCGCAACATATATCAGAATAAGCACTAGCCTTACTATAGTGATAATATGTACCATTACGGAATTGTCTTATTTTCAGCAAAACGTTGGTTTGCAAAGACGCTCATACGCGCACAAAAAAAAAGGGCGATTATATTACATGATACGACTATTTAACATTATTTAAAAAAAAGTAGATTATGTAAATATATTTTTGTAGCAACATTGTATTAATTATCGTTTATTATTTATTAAAATTTGTATAATAATATAATATAATTTTTTCTATGATATTGATATTAAAATGTCAAATCTCGAAAATATATTATTGTAAAGAATATTATTTTGGTCAAGATAATACAATGCAATCATTAATAAGTAATAAAAGATAATATTAATTTTTTTTTATTTCCTTGTTGTTTTTTTTAATGTGACTACATATACAGTTTCTCTCATTAAATGAAGGACCACTTAAGAATTATTATTAATAAAAAAAAATTTTTAGATATTAAGTAAACTTGCGTCTCAAAATGAATTCTATCTATAGTGAAATTTTTGTTAAATTTAAACAAATTTTTATTATTATATTTAATGATTTTTTTTCTAATTTTTTTGTTAAAATTTTGCCATTCATACAATTTCATAACTATTGTTTTATCAAACAATTTGCTATTAATAAATTTTACTCAGAATTTTTTAAAGCTTTTAAATATTAAGTTTTATAAATTTCATCTAGTATTTAAATTTATATTTGATAAAATGTACAGTCTTTTAAAATAAAAAAAATATTTAAAATTATTACATTTAATCAAAAATAGTTTATAAATATATAATCTTTTATTTTATTAATAATATCAGTTTTTACATATCAAAAAAACTTATTTCTTATAATAAATTTTACTTAGTAAAATTTTTATTAAATTTGTATAAATTATTATTATTATATTTAAAAATTAACATTAAAATCTTGTTAATAATATATTTTCTAAAGTTTATATTATTATAGATAACAAAAGTAATTTAATAAAATATTAAATATAAATAATTTTATAAAATAAAATAACTTTTTAAATAAATAAAATTTTATTAATAAAAAATTTTTTTATATTTAATTATATTATTAATTAATTTTAATTAACTATGAATAATTTTTTCCATTAATTAAGGCACGTTCCACCTCTGCAACTACATCACCAGCATCTGGTATAAAGTGAAAAAAAACTTTTACCGTAAAATTATCAAACATAGGAGCAAATAGCAATTCAACATTCAATACAATTCTAAATTTAACAATTACATCACACAATTATACTAACAAGTCAATATTCATCTCTACAGTAGTATTATTGTTTTGAACAAGCATTAATTATTCAGCACTATTGTCGTGAGCCCACTCCTATAGTGGTATCTGGTTTCAATAGATTTGTTATAATAGGTTACAATTAATTTACTATGTAAAGATTGTTAATGTAATGACAGTAAATACTTCTTATTTAAATAAAGTCTCGTATTTAATACTCATTTGTGATAAAAAAAAAATTTTTTTTTCCATTAATTAATTTTTTACTTGAAAATTTTTTTATTTAGTAACAGCTTTTTCAAAAAACTTTCAATCTTAAAGTATTTTTAAAAATGCTTTTAACTACTAATTAACTTTATCATAAGTATTATATATTAAATAAAAACAAAAATAATTTTTAAATATTATTATTTATTAAAATTGAAATTAACTTTTTCAAATTTTTTATTATAAAAAAAATAGAAATATTAAAGAAATTATAAAAACAAATTTTTATAAAAGATATTTGTATTATCAATTTTATAATAGAAAATAATAAAAAAAAATCAAAAAAGATTTTTTTTTTAAAGTAGATAAACATTATTACTTTATTAATCATAAAATTGTTTAAAATTTATACATGGAAAAGCGACAACATCTCTTATATAACTTATCAAGCTAATAAGTCTAATACTAGCTTGTTTATAGAAACCATTTAAGCGATATAGAAAATAAATATTAAAACTAATGTATATCTAAGATAATACCAAACAGCTATAAATATCTACTTAGGATTATATGAAATAAAATTTAAGAAAATATAAAAATAAAAAAAGAAAACAATAAACAAAAAAAAAATAATAATAAAACTAATTATACATCAGGAAATTTTTTAGTAAAGATCTCTGAAAATCTTTGAGCGTAAACCTCCGGAGGACCTCTGTCGTCGTTAAAAGACTCCGGAGTAAAGGTTACAATATTAAACTCTGGAAATCTTCAATTTATTTTAATAATAATAAAATATATTTATATTCACGTATTATAATCTATTAATATTCAATTTTTAATG